GGGGGGGGGGGGGGTGACACAGGTGGGGCAAGCAATGTTCCGCGTGCGGGCCAACGGATGGCTGCTGGGTAGGGATGGTCCAGCAATCATGAAGCCCCGCATGCGTCCTGTTTGAGCACGAAATTTGACATGCCCGCACCTGCCCGTGCGCTCGTCCGCCTTGACCACTAGGAGCGTCAGTGTCCCCAGGATATAGGCGCCTGGGGTGGGGGCCAGGGGTGGGGGCCAGCGGCGTTTGTGAACTCACGGCACATAATATGGGCAATCAAACCGGCGCAAAACTCCCAGCTCATGCACAGGGGTCAGGGGCCCATGCGGTCATCACCGCCATCAGGGTTGGGCACGCGTGGCTTGGATCCCCCAACACATGAAAGGGCACTCAGTCATTCCTGGCACCCTTGCAGACTTTTCAAACAATCAACCCACAAACCTGGATGGCTCCTAAATCGGGCGCCCGTGAGACTTTGTGCACCCTTTGTTGTCCCGTCGAAGTGGCCCCGTTTATCATGCGCCGGCCGCTGCCGTCAGGGGGCGGGGGGCTCACCCAGTGCGAGGTTGAAGAGCAGGAAGACCCCCGCCCTGGCGGCGTTGGCCGCGATCTGCACCATGTTGTCTACACCCTCAGTGTCGTTCCACTCGTTCCCGGCCAGGGTGGTCACAGCCCAGTACAGCTGCGGGTGGGAGGGGCACGTTTTGGCGGGAAGCAAGAGGCTCATGTGCCACTTAGTAATGATATATAATGAGGATACGCTGTTGGGCCCGCCGACGCCGGCGGAAAGGATAAACAGTCTTGCAAGGTCGAGAGCTGGGTGGGAAACTTGGGCCTGCACAGCCCTTGGTTCGCGGCGCGGGCACCTCATGCCTCTGAAAACCAGCTCCCATGCCTGCGGCGCAATCAGATTTCTCAGCCAGGAGGCTGGGTCCCACACCCTCCTCACCCCACCCCCTGCATGGCCACTCACGCTGTAGACGTATCTGTCGGCGCCAGTAACGCTGGCGAAGAGCGCCGGGTTCGTGCCAACAAGCACGTTGGGGTCGAAGCCGGCGCCGCGGGCGTAGCCCTCGAAGCCGCAGGCCACCCAGTGGGCCAGGTACGCCACAATCTGGGCGGCAGATGGATTTTTAGAGTTCAATGGATGGTTGTTCGATTGAAGGAGTGGAAGGAGTTAGGTGGAGTGTATGACGTGCACCCGTCATCTCAAGGTCAGGCAGGATGCTGGCTAGCCCATGTACAAGGAATATGCTGCAGCTGGGTGGGGTCAGAAACACACCTGCGATTCTGGCTGTTCCGGGCAGGGCTGCAAGGATCGAGACACGGCCCAGCAGCCCACATGCCCCATCAAAAAGCTGGGATGCCACTCAAAAGCTGCTCCGGCAGTCCCCCCTCCACCTGCAATGCCGCACAACGCATCCCTGCAATGGGTTTCGCGACTCACCATCAGGTTGCGCGCCACAGTGACCCCCAGCAGGCTCATGTTTTGGTCATACTCCAGGTACCTGCCAGGCGGGGGTTTCGAGGAGTGGTCAACATGGTGGCAATCATGACTTCAGCACACTGCCATTATGGATGCTGGAGAGCGTATGCGCGCGTGCACGATGTTCGCGGCGGCAAGGTTGTGCGCCCAGCTGTCGCTGGTGCGGCACACCGCGTTGTGCCATGCACCCACTGCCTGGGAAGCCAAGCCCTGGCCCGTCTCCTGCCACCCCTCAGCCGTGCGTGCCCCCGTCCGCGCCAGCCCCCCGCCCCCCTAGGGGCTCCTCCAAAGCAGGGGAGCGTGGGGCTGACCAAGCCGCTGCAAACAAAGCGCATGGCCCCGCAAGCAGCCAGCATCCCCCCCCCCCGCGCGCGCACCTGAAGAACCACCTCACGCGGTACAGCCGCGCCAGGTGCAGCAGCTTCAGCGGCCCCGCCACCGCCGCCGCCTCACCGGGCTCCATGCGGCCGAGTGTCACCAGCCCGACATAAGCTATGAGGTCAAACGGCACCCCGCTGACGACGTCCAGAGCCAGCCGGGACGCGCGCGCGCGGCCGGCGCCGGGGGCGGCAAGGGGGTCGGCGGCGGCGGCGGAGGCGGCGGAGTGGGTGTCGACGAGCACCTCGTCCTCGTCGACGGCCACGCTGCGCGACACGGCTTCGCGTTTTACGTTTCCAGTGGGATGGATGAACACATGCATTCACAAGGCGGGACGATGGGTTGTGGTGGCGGCCGGGAGTTGTCGCTGAGGTTGTATGCATGAGTTGCAGGCCGTCCGCGGCGCCGGGCACATAGTAAGTAGCGGCCGCGACGTGTCCACTCAGCAAGCTTGCAGCCCAAAAAACGGTGAGCGCGAGGCTGAGTGCCAACATCCTCAGCAATTATGGCTGCCACGAGGTCGCCCGTGGTGTCACGCGTGCGTCACCCGCGGCGTCACCCGCAGCAGGACCCACCTATGTCGGCGCAGAACAGCATCACCAACAGGCCGTCCAGGACCGACAAAGGTGTGTACACGCTCGGGTCATACAATTCTGCGAGATCCCCGAACCCGAGCTCCCAGGGTATAATGATGCCAGACAGGGCCGCCGCCGCAATCAGCAGGCCGCGCCTGTGGCAGATCGGGGTTGGGGTCGACGTGGCGCGGTGCACCGGCCAGTCAGCCACTGGGGGTTGGCCAGCGGCGCCTGCAGCCATCCGCCGCCGCCAGCGCCAGCGGCGCACGCTCAGCATCCGTGCGGAGGTCTTGAAACGAGGCGCGCGGCAGCAGCTTGCGCTGCCTGCCCGCTGCCTGCTGCACCGCTGCACCTACCGGGTGTTGAGGCCACTCAACGACCGCATCACTCACCATGCGCGGTACCGCGGATTGTTGGGGTCGATGGTAACTCCCTGGCGGCCAGCAAGTTTGGCACCCGCTTGCCCTGGCCTCCGAGACCGCAGTGCACCTTCCTCCTCACCACTGCCGCTGCTGCTGCCGCTGCTGGCGCTGGTTGCCTGCTCCCAAACGGGCACGCTAGTGCGAGCGGTGCGCTCGACGCCACTGCCGCCGCTCCGTGCGCCAGGCGCCTCGCTCAGGCCCAGGCGCTGGAGCAGACCGTTCCATGCCCGTGTACGGACTAAAAGCGGTCTCTCCCGACCGTGAAAGGGCCTTGGCGCGGCCTTTCTGGTTCCATGACTCAAACGCACGTGCGGAGCAACCGAACGCTGCATGCTCTCTAATTGTATGCCTGGCTTATACAAGCAGGCTGAGGTCCATGGCGAGGCCTTCCAGTGGGCTGTGCGCTGTGCTGAGGCTCGGTGGGGCACGGGTTGCACGTGAACAAGAGAAGATGCAGCTCGTGCTTTGTGTATTAAGGCTTGCTTCCAGCTTTCGAGCGGGTGATGCATGCACTGGATGAGAGCACACCGGGCCATGTGACTGCGCGACAGTGTCACAGGCGCAATGAGCGTCGTACAAGTGGCGCACAGGTGACCCTGTCGCATCAATCCGACCAGCCTGGTGATATGGCTTGCAATTACGAGCGTGCCGCACATTATGCACATGCAAACAGTGTCGCGCATGGGGGATGTGCATCGTGGCCATGCAACTGGCATCAACCACCCTCACGCCAGCAATGGAAGCTGCAGCTCTTCTGCTCAAACAATCGCGCTTGGCCAGAGAAGGCTATCAAAATGGTTGAAAACAGCAAACATGATGCACTGATCACCTCCCGGGTGAGCTGCCGTTATTGGGTGTTTCAGGAAGCAAGGTGGCGTCAGAAAGTGCACTTGCACACATCGTGGGAAGCATTGCTTACGGTATCAACGCAGGCTTCACTCGCCAGCCAGGTGCAATACTGTTCTCTGAGCTCAAAGGCGCCGCTTGTCTGTGCGCGACGGCGCAATATTTTTCAGGCTTACTAAAAATTTGAAAGTGGATCAAGCGTCTTGCATCAAGCGCAGGCACACCCAGGTCGAGGCTCCTAGCGCTTTGTTATGTTTGTCGCTGTTCTTCATGACCTGGCGTAAGTAAGCCTCTTGCCTTGGATCCAGGCGCTGCAAGTCGTGTGCGAACTGCATGCTGCTGTGAAATCGGAGCTGCACTCAATGCTTTTGCCGCTTGCCGCCCGCTTATCATTCCGATGCGGTTCTTGATATCGGTGCACGAACCATCAAGCCACCACTTCGGACTCGAAGCCTGGGGCACCACCAGCAGGACAACACCTTCTGGATGTGTCCCTCAAATCATGGAACTGTAACGGGACAGTACTAGTCAGACTGAGGGGTTAGTCTCCCAGGCTGCCAGGACTGGGCCTTATTTGTCGACACCTAGCTGGGAGTCACTGCCAGTAGAGCAGCTGCCCAGTAGGCGCCCCTGGGAGACTAACCCCTCAGTCTGACTAGTAGTGTCCCGCGACAGGAACCCTCCAAATTCATGGATGGTCATGCCAAGGTTCCAACAACCAGGAGTGACCCCGCATACCCTTCACTAGAGCGCTCAGAGCGTCCTTGGCATTGGTACGCGTGCCTGCCAACCAACCTGGCATCCGCCACGACCTCTGTCACCTGGCATGGGTGACAGCATGACTGGTTGGCCCTTGCCAGCGCTGCTCGACCTGTCGTGCAAGGCGTTATACCACATACATAGGACGATCAGGATTGCTTCTTGATGAGCTGAGCAGCGAAGCTAGCAGAACTGCAGATTGCACGCTTCCTATCTTTCGAGGTGATCTATCACAGCGCGGAATAATTACCTAAGCAGCTGACACGAGTGGGGATCCCTTCTGATAGGTTTAGACCCGGCAGCGGCGGAACGGGATGGAGGTCGCACCTGGAGAACCGAACGCGGGCGCTTCGGAGCAGAAAAAGTGAGAGAACGAAGTATATTACGCATGCAAAATGGAGGGTGGCCGCATAGAGTCACAGCAAGTCAAGCGGCGTGAGCCGCCGCTCAGCACTGCACCGCCGCCGCTGCTGCTGCAGCAGCGAGACTCTTGATGCAAATGCTCTTGCTGCCTCGCGCACCTTGATAACGCTGCCTGTCCCCGATGCTGCGCAGCGTACTCTTGTGAGCATCCCACTTGCACGCCCTGCTTTGTGGCCTGCCTGTCAACTGGAAACGCTGCCTGTCGACTCGGGATGCTGCGCTCACCTGGCACCCCACCCACCCCCGGCACGCGCTCCCGCAGGCGCAAGCGCCCAAAGCCCGATGCGTACCTTGCTGACATCAGCGACCGGAAGCTGAAGGGGAAGCTGCGGCATAAGGAGCGGCTGTACCTCCAGTCGTCAAAGGAGACAGCGAAAATTGGCGAATGGCTGGCGCCCGCAGAGGCGGGGACGCTCGAAGCCGAGGGTGCGAATGGGATGAGTTGCCGATGGCAGAGGGCAGGGTTGGTGGTGCGCTGGGAGCGTCAAGATTTGTAGCTCCTGTCAGCGGGGCTGACAGGCAAGGTGGTGGTTGATCCGGGGTGCACGTGGGTGTGAGCGGCTTGCGTTCGCTGGTTGCACGTGGGTGTTAGCGGCTTGCCTTCTCCACTGCCAGCCGTCCGGGAACGAAGCACAGTCTGACTCAGCACGCTGCGCAGCCGCGGCCCGTCGCATCCAGCGAGGCGCGCCGCAGCGACCGGGCGCGAGCATCCCCGCACCCCACACCCCATCGCCGGCGCACTCCGGGCCCACCTCCGCCACCGCCCGCCCCGGCGCCCCCCGGTGACTCCCCAGGCGCCGAGGAGACGTGGCGCTTCAAGCAGGACGAGATCGCGCAGGCCGTCGCCGCCGGCGCGCGCCGCAAGGCGTTTGACTTGGAGCTCCCAGACCTGGGGCCCTACAAGGTCGCGTTCAGCCGGTCGGGGCGCCACCTGCTGCTTGGTGGCGAGCGCGGCCACCTGGCAGTGATGGAGTGGGAGCGGTCGCGGCTCACGTGCGAAGTCCAGGTGAGGCCTGCAGCTTCGGTGTTGGTGACCTACAGCTTTGATGGACTTTTCGGGGTTTACGGAGCCGAGAGCGGGGAGGGGTGAGACGAGGCGCGTGCGTGCCTCGAAGGGGTGCAACGCGTCGCGGCGCTGAGGACGCGGCGGCGGCGGGTAGCAACTTGGGGTGAACCATCTCGAAATAGCCGGCGCCTTTTGACACGACTGGCCCGCAAACGCCGTCGCCGGCCCCTGGAAGCGTGCTGTTTCTCTGCTTAACCCCCAACATCCTGCCCCCGCCGCCGCCAGGTCGCCGAGACGACGCGCGCGGTGACGTTCCTGCACAACGAGCAGTTCTTCGCCGCGGCCCAGAAGAAGTACGTGTACATCTACGACAAGCGCGGCCTCGAGGTGCACTGCCTGCGGGAGCACACGCAGCCGGCGGCGCTGGAGTTCCTGCCGCACCACTTCCTGCTGGCGTCGGTGGGCGAGCCCGGGATCCTGCATTACCAGGTGTGTGTGGGGATTGATTTCTATTGGTGATTGTTGGTCGGGGGCGCTCTCTTCTGCGCAGGGTACGTTTGGCATGTTGAATCGCAGGCGGCTGAGTATTTGCAGGGGCACGGAGGCGCCGTCAGTGCTCGCGGCGTGTCGGTCGCATGGCGGAGGCTGCTGATTCGCTGACTCAAAGACACCCCGCTCCTCGGCATCACCTTCACCCCTCCCTAACTCCCATGCGCATTCAACTCAATGACTCCGCCTCCTGCCAACTTGAATTCTCACCGCCTTGCAGGACACCACCCACGGCGGCATCGTGGCGCAGCACCGCACCCGCCTGGGCCCCTGCGGCGTGATGCGCCAAAACCCCCACAACGGCGTGCTCTGCCTCGGCCACGCCAACGGCACTGTGTCCATGTGGACCCCCAACATCTCGTCACCCGTCGTCAAGATGCTCTGCCACAGGGGCGCGGTGACGGCGGTGGCCGTCGACCCCACGGGTCACCAGCTGGTCACCGCGGGTGAGAAAAAGCGCAGGGGGGAGGGCAGTTCTGCCGGTGGGCCGGTCCAGGGGGGCAGTTTAGGGTGTAGCAGCATGCGGCTATCTCAGGTGCAGGCGGCGCTGCCGGGTGGGCGCGGTAGTGTGCTGCGATCTCGGGGTGGGACGCCTCACTCGACCCCCTCATCAACCTCCGCCGGGCGCGCGCGCGGAGCCGCCGGCCGTGCGTCGCCTCCGCGCGTGCCTCACGACCCAAAACCCACCTAACAACGTAGCCTAAATTTTCCCCACCCCCCCGGGCAGGCGTGGACTGCCAGGTCAAGGTGTGGGACGTGCGGACATTCAAGCCGCTGCACGCCTACTTTGCCAACGCCCCCGCGACGGCCCTGGACATCAGCCAGCGCGGGATGCTGGCGGTCGGGCAGGGGCGGAGGATACAGGTGCGGGGCCCGCACGCGCCGGCCCGTTTGCATTGGGCCCGGGAGGGCAGGGTGCTCTGCTTGAGAACAGCGGAACGTGACCCACCAGACGCCCCCCCTTTTGACAAACATACATGCCCTTGGCTGCCGCTTTGCACCAGCGGCGCTGGCAGCTTGCGTGGCCCTGTGTGGAGTCCAAATGCACAGTACATCTGCGCCAGCTCAACACCTTCTCCCCTTCGCCCGCATATGCACTGGGAGGTGCATTGAAATTCACCTGGGCACACTTCTCAACAACCCGTATGTGCGCATGCAGACGCATACTCTATCTCACAAACACCCTCCCTCATGCGCACACACACGCTCGCACGCATGCGCAGGTCTGGCGCGACGCCCTCTCCTCCAAAGCCCAGGCGCCCTACCTCACCTCTGTACTGCCCACCGGTGGTGTCGCCGCGCTGCGGTTCTGCCCCTTTGAGGACGTGCTGGGGGCGGGGGCGGCCGGCGGCTACAGCAGCCTGCTCGTGCCAGGTGCGGGGACGTGCGTGCGGAGCGGAGCACCCCCGATCAGGCCACAGCAATGCGGGGAGGCGCAGCCTCATGTGACACCCTCTCCATGGTCTGCTC